CAAAAGGCTGTATTTAACATATATATAAAGATAATATAATATCAAATTATTAAATTATAAAAGTTAAAAAAATTAAATAGCTAATTATGAATTATAATTATAAGTCATACGCTTTCATAAATACAAAGGTTTTAAGCGCTGACTTAAAACTAGAAAAAATAACCGTGCTGTTCTCCTKACATATTTCCAATATGGCGAATAGCAACCGTTGTCAAGTAAATTAGTCACGTGGGTGAAACCCAAGGAGAACGACAACAGAGTGAAAATGTCTGTTCTCGCAATCATTGGATTCAACCAAGGAGTTTTGGGAGCATACCCTATTCATGGCAGTTTCAACGCTGTACAATTTAACTTTGTTTTAGATCAGCTCCTTCTGCCATTGGTCCCAGCAGGGTCTTATATAGTGACAACGCCTCTATTCATAATGAAGTAGATTTGGTTAGACTGCTTGCACCACACAACATTCGACTTGTAAAACTACCAATGTACTCGTACGATCTAAATCCCATAGAGATGGTGAATGGTTTGGTGAAAACTTTCGCTAAACAAACCCCAGGGCAGTTACATGCGCRCGCGTAAGAAGTGTTCTATAGACATCTGGAATGGCTATTCTATAATTTGACGAAGTCAAAGTGTCACACTCAGAGTGCCAAGCTTCAAGAAATAACCGTTTGTGATTGTTTGGCTCTTTGTCCACCACACRAGCAGCACTGAAATCGATCACGTGGTCGTCTTCCAAAACATGTTGGGCTAACTTTGATGAAMTTTTATGCTTAACCACGTTCCTCCGATGTTCCTGGATGCGGGTTTTTAGCGATCTGTCCGTCTGTCTGGARAGCTTTTTTATGTTTACCATGAATGGTAAATTTTTTGAATCACTATCAATGTTTTGAAAAAACCCTGTGACATGGTTACTTATAGCCTTGTTTTTGGGGTCATCAACCCTTTTTCTGGCATTTTCTACAACAAAACAAGAAAAAAAGAAAATGAAAGAGATAATTYAAATGTACATGCCATTTAAAAAGAAACCAMAAAAAAGACAAGGAACCAAAAACACATAAATTGCTGCTTTTAAGACATATGGCGATATATAAACACTTGATTATAGAGTGCACACCACAAAAGCGTGAAAAAAKTATTAGCAATCAATAATTGATAAGCTTTCGTTATCAAATAACTAAGAATTCACTGCCTCACTAATTTCCCACTAAGTTTGAAGTATCTTTCTAACAGTTGTGAGGCTGCTGCCAAAATCTCATTTTCCCATTTGAGGTACATAAGTTTGTGTTACGTTAGTCTTGATTGTAATTATACAATGACACTTACAATCCCCTGAATTTTAAAGTGTAATCAAAAGAATTGTCTCATAGTGACTTCACTCCAAAATGCTATTTCAATTTTTTTTTTCACTTATGGGATTCCTGTGTCATTTTATTTTGATTGTTTAAAGGCCCAGTTTGCACCATTATGGTTTGCGCATATATGTTATTGTTATGATTTGCACCAAAATACTTCTAGTATCCAAATATCACCATTAAACGAATGTCAGATGGTTAAAAACTCTAATATTAGCGTTTAAAGTGCGATGGTCAAACGTCGCACCAGTACAATTATAGACTATACATACGTCAGTTGTGTTAAAAAATACTGTGGGATACAAAATCATTAACATCAATATTTTGACTAGTGGATAAACCCTTCCCCTTCGTAACTTCTCCTCCATGCCACTAGCACAAGTGATCAAATTCAATATAAAGTCTTAAAATCAAAACTCAACTAGACTTCCATTCATGTAACTCTCAGCTCAATAAAGAATGTCCTGAAAATGGATGTGGTAAAACACAATTTGAAACTTTTCCATTGTTAGTGACTCTTATAAATCATGGCTATGATCGGCTATGATGTCATAAGTGCAAATTACAATATGTTGGATCGACTAGGAATGAATTTAAGGGAAGATTTAGAAATCATAAGTCATCTATGTTAACTAAGAAAAAGACATGTGAGGTTGCAATTCATTTCAATAGTAAACCACATAAGCTTAGTGATTTTAGCTTTTTAGTGATCGAATCTTTGTATAGCCATAAACTTTACAAATGTAAATCACTCCACGATTTTCGCACGTACCGGCCAGGGACCACCAAGAATAGTGAAAACTAGTTTCGTTTATTAAAAACCTCTTCAGTTCACTATATGTTTTACAACAGTTGAAGAAAAATTCGTAAACAAACATTGATGGGTAGCGCGCACTAAAGGCGCGCGCACCAACACAAAACGAGAAAGGTGAGCGCGCATACAAAACAACTAATTAATTTACTAATTAATTCTAGCACGCGGGATATTAGCAAAGTTCCACTCTTTCTTCGTGTTCATTTCTGGCTTCACTTTGTTTATAAGTACGGCTTCACTCACTTGTCTGAGTAGAGCGTCCCCCTGGAAAACATTTGTAACATCACACGTGTAATCAGGAATCTTGCCTTCGTGTTCCTCTCTTGCATGACTCCACAAGACTGAACCTTTACTTCTATTGTCCAACTCCCTCAAATGTTCTCTTCCTCTCATGTACGTGTTTCGGGATGTTTCTCCTATGTACGTCTGGCTGCATTCGCTGCAACTGATCTTATACGTGGCACTGGTCGCTCTACAAGGACCATTACCCCCTGTACAGCAAACAAAGCAATCCTCTCGTCTACACGCTCTCTCCTTGAACGGATCCGATCTTTGTAACATCCGTTTCACACTTACGCCAGCTTTCTCCACGATTTTGACTTTGATGCCTGAACTTCTTACATCGTCCTCCAACTTCCTCTTTAACTCAGAATCAGGAGTAGCTGGTATGAAAACTACACTGCTATATCCACCTTTCTTGTACCAGTTGTTCCTCTTGCTTCGTTTTTC